GTCTCCCTCTCTTTGGTGACAATCTTCACTACTTCAGAGGAATAGTGATAGAAATGTAGCCGTGTTAGTCTGGTGTAGCTGAAACAAAATACAGGACTATGTAGCACTTTAAAGACTAACAAGATGGTTTATTAGATGATGAGCTTTCGTGGGCCAGACCCACTTCCTCAGATCAAATAGTGGAAGAAAATAGTCACAACCATATATACCAAAGGATACAATTAAAAAAAAAAGTGAACACATATGAAAAGGACAAATCACATTTCAGAACAGAAGGGGAATGCAGGCAAATTTCAGAACAGAAGGAGGATGCGGGGGGGAGGGGGGAAGGTAAATGTCTGTGAGCTAATGGTATTAGAGGTGATAATTGGGGAAGCTATCTTTGTAATGGGTAAGATAGCTAGAGTCTTTGTTGAGACCCCCGCATAGAGTGTTGAATTTTAGCATGAATGACAGTTCAGAGGATTCCCTTTCAAGTGCAGATTTAAAAGGCTTCTGACGCAGGATGCAGGTAATTAAGTCATTGAGACAGTGTCCTTTCTGGTTGAAATGGCAATAAACTGTTTTTTCTTTGTGATCCTGTCTAATATCTGTTTTGTGGGCATTGATCCTTTGGCGAAGTGTCTGAGACGTTTGTCCAATGTACAAAGCAGAGGGACACTTTCGGCACATGATAGCATAAATTATATTTTAGGATGCGCAGGAATATGTATTCTTGATCTTATTACTCACTTGGTTAGGTCCAATAATGGTATCAGCAGAGTGAATATGTGGACAAAGCTAGTAATGAGGTTTGTTGCAAGGGAAGGTACCAGGGTTGGTATTAGTGTGGTATGTCCTGTGGTTGTTGGTAAGAATCATCTTGAGGTTAGGTGGTTGTCTATAGGGGTATGTCTACACTACCACCCTAGTTCGAACTAGGGTGGTAATGTAGGCAACCGGAGTTGCAAATGAAGCCCAGGATTTGAATTTCCCGGGCTTCATTTGCATAAAGCCGGGCGCCGCCATTTTAAAATGTCCGCTAGTGCGGACTCCGTGCCGCGCAGCTACACGCGGTACGGACTAAGTAGTTCGGACTAGGCTTCCTAGTCCGAACTACCGTTACTCCTCATTTCACGTTAAACCCAGTTGTATAGATGCATCCTAAGTTATTACAGATAATTCTTTCCCAGGTGTCTGGTAATGGGTTTTGTCCACATGCACAGGGTTTGTCCACATGCACATACATGATTCCTGTATTTGGGCTGGGAAAAAATTCTCCCAAGTAAGATTGGCAGAGACTCTGGTTTCCTCTGCAGCATGCACTACAGATAACTTTATATTTAAACTAATGTAAATTGGTGGATTCTTTATAACTTGAAGTCTTTAAATCATGGTCTTAGGACATTAGTAACTCAATCAGACGTTATGGGTCAAGTACAGAGTACTGTTAGAGTATGAACTATGATATCATCTCCTTGGGTTACACAATCGACTTTGCCTCAGTTCCACCTATGGAACCCCCCCCCAATCCTTTTCAGGGACCACTCTTGTGAGAGTGTGCTTTCAGGAAATAGACACTCTGTTACACATGGGGGCTATAGAACCAGTCCCCATAGAGCACAGAGGGGAAAGGTTTTATTCAGAATACTTCCTGGAACCAAAAAAAGAGTGAGGTTGGAAACCTGTTCTAGACTTGAGGCTATACAGTTCTGATGTGAGGTGCAGAAGTTCAGAATGGTGACACAGTGTTAATTTGTTCATCAGAGCAAGAGGATTTCCACATTGCTGTGTACCCATCCCACAAACAAATCCTCCATTTTAGTGTTGGCTAGAACTACTTTAAATACTGAGAGCTCCTCTTTGGCCTATCATCCGCCCCAATGGTCAAGTTGGTGATAGCAATGAAATTCTGCAGGACAAGTTTTTTGTATACCCTTACCTGGATGATTGGTTGCTGAACAGCTGTCCCTTAGAACTGTTGTCTTGGACAACTTCAAAGGCAATAGGACTCATCCTTGAATTGGGCCTACAACTGTACATACAAAAATCCCCTCTGACCTATATATAGCATCTAGGGTTCATAGAGCACATCTTGAGGGGAGCAGTGACAGAAGGAGCCTACCTTCCTCAGCACAGACTTTTGGTTCTTTAAAACATAGTAAACAGAATTCAGTTCAGCCCTCAAACCATAATCAGGAACTGTATTCAGTTACTGGGTCAAGTGACAGCCAACACTTTCATGACAGAATATGCCAGACTTGGAATGTGTTAACCTCACGGTTCAAAACTATCTATTCACCCACCAAGCACAGTCTAAATATGCTTTTTTTCGATCCCTACCTTCATGAAATAATCTCTCAATTGGTGGAAGGACCATCACAATATGTGGACAGGAGTTCTGTTTGCACATCTTACCGGTAGTTGTTATAAAGATGGACACCTCTCTGTCAGCATGGGGAGAACAACTCAACACTTACACAGTCCAGGGAAAATAAAAATTGCTAGAGGTGATTCTACAGAACTTCAGCTCTGGGCTTTAGCTCTGCATGGGGAACCAGAACTCAGGGATCTAAGCGTCTGCCCGGCATTGTCCATGGACCTCCAGAAACCAGCTCATGGTCCCCGTAGGGCCATGTAGGCCTGGTTAAGAACTGCCACTCTAGAGGGTGGTGATGTGGATGTAGAAAAATATAAAAGGTAGAGTGTAGATCAAGGGTAGGATACAATTAAATTATCACAGATTTGGATCCAAATTTTTGTATCGACATGAGGCTCATACTAATCATTTGTTAGTGCACTTTGATCTTCTTTGAAATGAGTGTAGCTCAAAATGCACTAACACAAGGGTGGGCAAAATTGGTCCCAGAGTCTAGATCTGGCCAACCAAGCATTTCTCTCTGGCCCATACTCTTGATTAGCAGAGCAAACATGCCTGCAGCATGTTCAGCTGCCCCTCTAGCTGCGATGCTCCCAGTATTCTTCTTTGAGCAGTGTGGGGACATGGGGGAAGGATGGATGGGAAAGGAAAGTGCTGAAGTCAGGGTATTCCCTCCACCCCATCTTTGCAGAGCAGGGGGCAGGTAGAGGGAGACACACAGTGGAAATGCTCCAGCCTGAAGAGTGGATGGTAAGTGGCTCAGAGGAGTGCAGAACAGGGGAGGAAGGGACAACAGAGCAGGACGGATTTCCCTTAAAGAGACAGCATGAGGCATCTCTCAGAAACCTACCCTGCAGCAGCCAGCAGACGCATTCTGTGTCACTGTCACACACACACACCGCAGTCTGGGACACGCTGTCTCTGTATCACACAAACATAGTCACTGTCAAATACACACTACCACATGCACCTAATCTGTGTCACAAAGTCTGTCACACACAAAGGGTCCCTCTTTCTCACTCATACACACACTTTGTCTCTCTCTGTAGTCCCCAATTCCACGCTTTCTGCCTGAGACCCCTGCCCCTTCTGGGAGGACCAGAGCCAGAACACAACCATGTACCAAAATTTGCCCAGAGCCAGCCCATGACCATGTACCAAAATTTGTGAAGTGGCCCCTCTGCATAAAATTATTTCCCACCCCTGCACTAACAAATGGGTAATGAGCATCAGCAAGGTCCACACAGTGAGTTAGTGCAGCATAGGTCAGGGCAGAGTACACTCACTTTGCTATGAACTGAATATGAATGGGATTTTGACACTGAAGTTACTGACGTATGCTTCTGACTTTTCTCCTCAAAATGTTACTTCCTAAGTAAACCCACTCAAAATCCTTCCTCACTCCAGTGGAACTGAATTGATATTTACGACCATCAAATTATTCACTCTGTTTGTGGGTTATACCCGTTACCCAATCTTCTGTAGCTTTTATCTAGTTAGTTTCCTCAGGGTAGGGACCATCAACCACTCTGTGTTTATACAATGCCAAGTGCAAAGAGGGGGAGGGCATCCTTCGTTAGCCTTAAGCACCAGCATAATTAACATGATTTGTAATAATTTTACCAACTACAACCCTCATTGGCAATAATGGACAAAATTATTAGTGCTAAAAGTAGCAAGTCTGAAATTGTGATACTCATACCTTTACAGTGAATAACTTTGTCAGAGTCATCAATAAGAACAGCAACAAAACAGGCAGACCGTTCTTGATTGCTGGTGTAGGTTTTGCTGGTGTAGGTTTTGCTGTGTGATTCTGTAATATGTTCTTCAGGTAGCTATATTATTCTATTAGTATAGATTTTATATATTCATTATAGCGAGATCTAATATCCCTACCAGAATTATCAGCTTTCCATTCACTTCCTTTGTTTTCTGTAACCAGATTAAAGATAAAAATTCTACTTATGGGCAACGGGCTGTTTTATACTGAGATTTTTATTCTTTTTGTGAATGTGGTTTTATGTATTTTCCCATGAATATGCAGTACCGTTTTGTCAGTTAGAGACTCCGACACTACTGGTTCAATAAATCAAAGCATGACAGGTGCTAATGCTTTTTGGCTTCACTCTGAAATAAATACATTTCTTGAGCCTTGCAAAATCTACATGTTTTTTCTTTAAACAGCTTGCACAATTATAATTCTTTCTTGGTCACTTAAACCCATTTCTTTTTTTTAATATTGTTGTTATTTTTTAAAATAATGTAGAAGCACATTGTAGATATGTTTTCATATAATTATGTATATATCATAATTAAATATGAATCTATTTATACATTCAAATTAAACACATTTTCCTATTTCATAGCTGATATTTTTATTAAAGCTTAGAAATATCTGTATTCAAGTTTTGAACATAAATTCTGAAAGTGTACTTTTCCAGTACATATTATAGTATGAATTTATTTTATTATAAAATAAAATACTTAAACATATATAATTGATCTGTTCTATTTTCTAGCCTCATCAAGCATTCTCGTGATGTAGCCATTGCTTTTGATATTATTATGCTTTAAGGTATAAAAAACAGAAAATGCTTTGTTCTATCCTGTTTTGAATGTAAATCTATCTTTCCTTCTGAAGGTTGAAGTGGACCGTTTCCAAGATACAATGAGATTTCTACATGACTATTACAGGGGAATGGAAGGCAAAATGCCAACAGAAGCTTGTCGAGAGTTCTCTAGAATCCCATTATTAGATATTGTTAATGTAGAGCAATCTGTGGATCAAAGCAAGTCAAGAAGGTAAAAACTTCATTGTAAAAAAGTAACACAATTAATATATCGTATGTGTGTTTGTGAATGTGTAAATTGTTAAATAGATGATGGTGATCACAGCCATTTTATAGATTTTTAATAGTGTGGTATATTTAATTTATTATACACTTTTTTCCACCTCGTCTGTATTCTGTGCAGTAACAAAGCTTGCCAGATAAAAGATTCCTCTTCCCCCCCACATTATAGCAGTTCCCTAACAAATTCTCCAACTGATCTCTCTATATACATAAAAAAAAAATTCCTGCAGAATGACAGAGTGACATCATCACGTCATTTGTGTCCTCATGCTGCCACCCGCCTCCATCCTCAGCCGCTTGCTGTGATCAGCGTTGATGCTGTCCCCTCCAGGCATGGGCTGCTCCAGCTCTGGCACCCACTTCATGCCCCAGAGGACTGAGCTGCTGGGGCTGGGTTCCCTTCCACCATCTGAACACAACACCCCCACCCTCCAAGCCTGACACACACCCCTTCACCCCTTATGCCGAGCAAGACATCTCACCCTACCCCATCCTGCCCTCTCCTCCCTGGCAAGACACCTACCCCCAACCTACTGCTGCACCCCTGCCCCCGGTCTTGTCCCCTATCCCCTGGCAAGATATCCCCTGGCAAGATATCCCCAGCCTGCTCCTGATCCCTTCCCTCTGGCCGGACACCTACTCCCAGAGAGAGGGGAATTGGCTAGTGTAGCAAGCAGGGGGCACAGCCCCCTAGTTACAGTTAAATATTAAACATTCAGTTCTGGATCAGAGACAGAATTAAAATTTTACAAGCATTGCCTTTGCGGTTGTGATCAATTAAACATAAGTTAAAGCAGCCTTGTTGGATGTTCTGAATTAAACACCATATTCAAGGTGAGCATATATCATCAATATTTATTATAATGACATAATGCTGTGCATAACAACACCAATAATGATAGCTGAATAGTTACAGTTCATCAAGACTTTGTCAGTACATAGAGTCTAATATCAATCATTCCAGTGTGTATTACTTGTTATCTAGTCCCCTGGTTTTGTCCTCATAAATCTCTCTAGTCTGGACTAACCAGAATGATTTTGTGCCATCCATAAATTTTACCACTTGTAAAGTGTTTCTTCCTTTTCAGTTGCTACCATAGACTTTGAAAATGGGATTAATACAACCTAAATACAACATAAAACATATAGCACACCATAGGGATATTTCTTGTTTTGTTTTCAAGGATTCCTATGGTTCCTCGTAAAGCCCCTTCTCCTGAAATAAATATCACTAAACAGAAAAGCAAAGCAATTCAAGTAAAGAGCAATAAGGAGAATTCCTCTGAAAGTATAACATTTAACTTTGGAGCAGATGAGAAAATTATCACTGATACATGGCAAGCAGCAGTAACAGCAATATCAAATATGGTAAGAAATGCATTGTTTAGTAAAGTTCATAGACTGGCTACATAATTAGGGCTAAATTTTTTTCAGTCCAAATACCATACCATGCACTAGTATCTCAACTCTATAATTCCTATTTCACTACTGATGTTTCAGCAATATCTGTAGCCCTGTAGCCCGAATACATCCCTACTATAAAGGGGAAAATAGACATAGTAACAGTACCTGTCCAGAGCTCTGCCTCCCTCCTCCTTTTATGGTAGAACAAAACCATCCTGCCATTAGAAATGACCTGTGCAACATGAAGGAAGGAACAGTATTTGTTCTTTAGTACAGTTTTTAATAAAAGCTTCCAAAATTAATAGTCAAGCAGAGATTAGAATTCACTAGACTTCTCCATTTTTATTGTATAATGCCAAAAGTATATTGTTTTACAGATAGTTCCAAAAAAGCAGATGCTGGATCAATAGCTATGTTTGCTGGCTTTCTGTACTTTCACAATATAATCAGACATATTGTCCTCCACAGTGAATGCCTTAAGATAAGTTAGCTTAGTTCTTCACATTCTGAGCCGTCGCTGAAATCTAGCGAAGTTTTTGGTTACCAGTAGGTCTACTTCCCTGTTTCCCTTTACACTAAAATAATTTGTTCAGTGAAATATTTAAACCTGCCTTCTTTTCCCTTCTTATTTTTTTCCTTTATCAACTGTTTCTTTACCTAATATGATCATATGCTGATCAGATTCAAAATCAAGAGTTAAAATATTGAATTTATTTTATACATCCAGCAGCAACCACTTTTGAAAAATAAAGAATCTCTTATTTGAAACATTAATTGTATGTTATATATACAGAATAGTCTAAGTTAAAATATTTATATGAATGTTAAGGTAAATGCTGAAATACAATCAAAAGAAGCAGAGGAAGAAAAAGAACGTCAGCAGCTAGAAAAGAAAGAACAAGACCGTCAAAAACCTTCTCAGGCAGCAGGAGGCAAAGGTGGTGGAAAGGATACCAAAGATGCTAAAACACCACTTCCAAAATCACCCAACAAAAAGAAAGGTAACTCAAATGTGCTTTTCTTTTTTATAAAAAGCACAAAATTATTCAAATTAAATGAACATTTGTTTAAAGGGCTAACTACAAAAGTTTAATTCTTTTCTATTTTTTTATTTTTCAGCCCATGATATATCAGTGTGCTGACATTAGTAGTGATAGAGAAATCCATAGATTGTTGAGTGATTGTTGGGTGAATTAAATCATAAATAATATTCAGATATAATTGTTCAAACTAGTACCCAGAAATTAATACTTGCTAATCTTTCTCTGTGCATTGCTTTGGAAATGTACAAATTGCAGCCATTTTATCAAATTATGTCAACATTTGGAAAATTCTGAGTATTTTTCTAACATTAGCATCCTGATGTAGCTGATAACATATAAAGTATTTATAAATACTTCTTTCTTTATTAATAAGGAATGGGATAAAAATAATCCAAGACTATTATTTCTCTATATAATGTATCGATCTTTATGATATGATGAATCATTTAGGTCTGTTCCTGCTCTGCCATGATTCTGACAAGGTGTAAATAATTACCAAGTAGAACTCTTTTTTGAGTGATTGCTCATGTGCATTCCAATATGTATGTGTGTGTGTGTGTGTGTGTGCGCCATGTGTACGGCCATCAGAAGATTTGCCTTAATGGTACCTATTGGATTGGCTGTGATGCTCCCTGTAGTGATGCCTCCCTGACAAAATATATGTAGATATGCATGCACACACACACACACACCCCTGTGGAACCAACTCCCATTTAGTTAATTCTTTCTGCCGGTCATTGGAGCTTCTGACCTCTTTCTTTGCAAGTTGTTAGTCCCTAACGTTGCAGCTTTAATAGTTCTTTGTAGTATAGATCAATTTTTGTTTAATTTTTTTCATTGTTGATAGTTGGTTTGGGAGTATCCCCCTCCCATTTTTTGGTCTTCTGAGGCATGTAGAGCCCAACCACTATAGTACACAACTGCATGAGGCTACTCAGGCACATGGCCTTCTGCACTCATGTCCTCTACCATGCTCAGCTACACCTCCGCCTGCTCCAAGTATGGTTGGTGTTGGTATTCAAGTCTTGTTAGTACTCTCTCGATCAGCTGGTCACTCTGCCTCTGGCAGCTCTGCACTCCCTCAGTTGGTGGCTCCAACCTCAAGTGTGTGCTGGGGTCCTCTTCACCAGGCTGCCACCAGAGATTACCTTGGTAACGGGTGCCTTGAACACAGGTTGGGGAGCATACCTAAATAATCTTTGGACTTAGGGCCTGTGATCACAGGCAGAACTATTGTTACACATCAGTGTCAGGGAGCTCAGGGTAGTTTGTCTAGCTTGCCAGGTGTTTCTGCCCCATCCAAGGGTCAAGTGTGTCATGGTCCTAACAAACAACACCACAGCAGTGTTTTACATCAATGACAGAATAGTACTCACTCCTTTCCCCTATGTCAGGAAGCTTATGGGACTTTTACATTCATCACAACATTTAGCTTCAATCTTTATATCTCCCTGGCAAGTAGAACAACCTCACAGATCATCTCAGGTGATCATTCCAGTCTCATGAGTGATCTCTCAGGGTGGACATGGTCCCCACCATTTTCCACAACTGGAGTCATTCCCAGGTGGATCTGTCTGCAACCTGCCTCAACAGGAAATTTGCTCAGTTCTGTTCCTTCCAGGGCCACAACTGGAGGGGTCCGTAACAGATACTTTTCTCCTATCAGGGATGGAGCAGCTTGTTTATGTATTTCCCCCATTTCCATTAATAACTAGGGTCCTTCTCAAGGTTTGGTAGGACAAAGAAGCAGTTATACTCATAGCACCCATGTGGCCCAGACAGCACTAGATCACCATGCTGCTGTCCCTGTCAGTGGCCAGGCCAATGATACTCCCTCTGTTCTCAGACTTCATGACACAGGATTAAGGCCAACTGCAGAATCCAAACATGGAGTCATTGCACTTCAGAGCATGGAAGCTCCATAGCTAAATTCCCTTAAGCTCCAGTGTTCAGACTCAAATCGGGAGGTCTTACTAACTCCGTTGCCACTCTGTCCATATGTCTATACAAGTGACACCATCACAGAACCTAACCACATAAGCCACAACATCAGGGCTCCATCCACCTGCACATCCACTAATGTGATATATGCCATCAAGTGCCAGCAATGCCCATCTGCCATGTATATTGGCCAAACCAGATAGTCTCTACACCAAAGGATAAATGGACACAAATCAGACATCAGGAATGGTAACATACATAAACCTGTAGGGGAACACTTTAACCTCTCTGGACATTCAGTAAGAGGTTTGAAAGTAGCCATCCTTCTACCATTTCAAAAACAGGGAAACAGCTGAACTATAATTCATTTGCAAATTCAACACTATCATCTTAGGCTTGAATAAATATATTAGAAGCAAGAGGAAGACCAACAGAGTAGGCTGAAAAGGGAAAAATAAGAACAGGAAACCTGGAAATGGCAGAGGTGGTTAACAACTTCTTTGTTTTGGTTTTCACCAAGAAGATTGATGGTGATTGGCTGCCTAACATAATGAATACTAGTGGAAATGGGGTAAGTTTAGAAGCTAAAATAAAAACGAACAAATTAAAAATTACTTAGAAAAATTAGATGTCTTCAAGTCACCAGGGCCTGATGAAATGCATTCTAAATTACCCAAAGAGCAGATAGAAGAGGTATCTAACCCTTTAGCTATCATCTTTGAAAAGTCATGGAAGTCGGGAGAGATTCCAGAAGACTGCAGAAGGGCAAATACTGTACCCATGTATAAAAAGGGAAATAAGAACAACCCAGGAAACTACAGGCCAGTCACCCTAACTTCTGTGCCAGTGAAGATAATGGAGCAAATAATTAAGGATTTCATCTGGAACATAATAAGGTGATAGGTAACAGCCATCGTGGATTTGTAAAGAACAAATCATGTCAAACCAATCTGATAGCTTTCTTTGATAGGATAACAAATCTTGTGTATAAAGGAGAAATGGTGGACATGGCATACCTAGACTTTAGTAGAGCATTTGATATGGTCTTGCATTACCTTCTTATCAATAAACTAGGGAAAAGCAACCTAGATAGGGCTACTATAAGGTGGGTGCATAGCTGTCTGGACAAATGTTCTCAGAAAGTAGTTATTAATGGTTCACAGTCATACTGGAAGGGCATAACAAATAGGGTTCCACTGGGGTCTGTTTTGGGACAGGTTCTGTTCAATATCTTCATCAACGATTTAGATGTTGGCATAGAGAGCACGGTTATTAAATTTGCAGATGATACCAAGCTGGGAGGGGTTGAAAGTGCTTTGGAGGATAGGATCATAATTCAAAATGATCTGGACTAACTAAAGAAATGGTCTGAAGTAAATAGGATGAAGTTTAATAAGGACAAATACAAAGTACTCCATTTAAAAAGGAACAATCAGTTTCACACATATAAAATGGGAAGTGATTGTTTATGAAGGAGTACTGAGGAAAGAGATCTAGGGGTCATAGTGGATCACAAGCTAAATATGAGTCAACAGTACGACAATGTTGCAAAAAAAACCAAAAACATGATTTTTGGATGCATTACCAGGAGTATTGTGAGCAAGACACAAGAAGCAATTATTTCGCTCTTCTCTGCACTGATTAGGCCACAGTTGGAGTATTGTGTCCAGTTCTAGGCATCACATTTCGAGGAAGATGTTGATGAATTAGAAATGGTCCAGAGAAGAGTAACAAAAATTATTTAAAGTTGAGAAAACATGATCTATGAGGGAAGACTGAAAGAATTGGGCTTGTTTAGTTAAGAAAAGAGAAGACCGAGAGGTGATGTGATAGCGGTTTTCAAGTATCCAAAGGGTGTTACAAGGAGGAGGGAGAAAAATTGTTCTCCTTGACCACTGATGATAGGACAAGGAGCAAAGGGCTTAAATTGCAGCAAGGGAGGTTTAAGTTGGACATTAAGTAAACTTCTTAACTGTCAGGATGGTTAAACACTGGAATAAATTGCTTAGGGGGGTTGTGGAATCTCAATCACTGGAAATATTTCAGAGCAGGTTGCATAGACATATATGAGGGATGATCTACAGGATGCTTGGTCCTGCTGTCAGGGCAGGGGAATAGACTTGATGACCTCTTGAGGTCCCTTCCAGTTCTAGTATCCTATGAAGGATCTAAACTGGTTAATGCATTACTGAGACAATTTCCCCTCTCTGGATATTCACATTTCCTCACCAAATGCTGTGAATGACCCACTCCCAACCTGACTTGATTAGCTTACTTAACAGTCAACTTCTTCCTTATATATACCTCTGCTTCTGAAACTTCCATTCCCATTCATCTGGTGAAGTGGGTTTTACGCTAATTAAACCTGTTAGTCTCTAACGTGCCATAGGACTCCTTGTTGTTTTTATTGAGTGGCCGTATGAGCTTAATTTGGGCCACTAACCTAGCAAAATGAAAGAAGCTCTCCCTCTGATGCTTTAATAAGGACAAACCCCTTACCAGGCCACTGTCCTCCTGCTTCTGGGCTATGTCCTTCACAGAAACACCACAGTCTGGCTGTGTCATCCATTAAGAACAACCTGGCTGCTATTTCAGCATTCCATCCAGGCTCAAGAGTAAAGTCCCTATTTGGGAACTGGGTGATGGATCAGTTCTTTAAAGGGTTGGACCAGATTTAACCTCAGATGAGGCATTCACTATCACCTTGGGACCTGAATTCGGTCCTGTATTGGCTCATGGCACTTCTGTTTCAGCCTTCTATCCCACTTCTCTTATAACGTGACCTTCCTAGTAGCCATTACCTCCGTCTGAAGGGCACTGGAGTTGGGGACTCTTACCTCTAAGCACCTGTATACTATCTTTTATAAAGATAAAGTGCAAATGGTGGTGTTATCATTTCACATCAATCAGGACATCTTTCTCCCAGTCTTCTTCCCAAAACCCTATGCCACAGGCAGGGGCTGGCTGCTGCACTCTTTGGATACAAGACATGCCTTGGCCTTCTGTATCAAACATACTAAACTATTCCACAAATTGCCACAACTCTTTGTCTCTGTTGCGGAGTGTGTGACGGGGTTCCTGATCATGTCCCAGTATCTATTGTCCTGTATCACTGCATGTATTACACTTTGCTATGATCTAGCCAAAGTGCCAACTCTACCTATTATAGTGCAGTCCATCAGGGTGCAGGCTTCTTCAGTGGCCTTTCTGGCACAGAACAGCCACAGGGCAGCAACATGTGTACACCTTCTGCGTACTCTTTTATGGTATACCCACCACCAGCCACAGTCAATCCAATGGGTACCACTAGGGAAAATCTTCTGATGGTCGTGCATGCAGTGCGTGCACACATATATTGGAATGGAAATGAGCAACACATCTCAAAGAACAACAGTTACAAAAGGTAAGTAATCCTTCCAATGAAGATCTGAGCCCCATTCTAATTGTACACATAATAAGAGTCAAACTGTGCTACAAATAATTTACTGTCTAAATGGAGAATTTAGATAAATGGTGGGGAAAAGCAAGTATTTAAAAAAAGGGAACAATGAAGTGCAGAGAGATTATGTGTATGTCGACACAGCAAAAAAATTCTTCTCTGCCACAGACTACTTGTAACCTTGGGCAAGACACTTACCGTGTGTTTACAGAGGAAGAAAAAACACCTATGGCAGCAAATCTCAGAGCCCAGATGAACAGACTCATGACATAGGGCTGAAAAATAGCAGTGTAGACTGTGATGGGTTAGGCCAGAGGGCTACAAGAAAATAACAGAAAGCGGGTATATTCACTGCAGGTTAAATAGTCCCTGTTTCCCTGGTAACCAAACAAGGTCTCCCTCTGGTTAATTAAGACACCTAGAGTTATTCAAGAACCTACTAGAATTAGTTGAGAATATTAGGTTAACAAAGACATCTGGAGACCATCTAGAACATGCTAGAACCAGTTGAGCCAGGTTTGATTGTGAACCTCCTGGAGCCAATCTAGGACTGACCCCCTTTTAGACAGTTAGTGGCCCACCCAGAGTGGTGGGAGGAGGATAGGCTGCAGGAGAGCAAGAACTGTAGAAGTGAGGCACCAGGGGAGAGCCCTAAAGGTACAGAAGGGAGGAGAGCTCTGTCTGGGGAACAGCCCCTTTGATCCTCAGAAGTTTAAAGGACATAAACCCCAAGATACTGAAAAATTTAGTTTGTTGCCTACATATCTGGAAAATCCACTAGGATGCTGTACACAGCACGCTTATTTTGAAGTAAGCTATTTCGGATTTTTTTTCCAGAATAGCTTATTTCGAAATAGCATGTCTATACTACAGGAGAGCCTCAAAGTTAGTCTGAGTCAAGCTTCCCTAATGTGTACGTGCTACATTGATTTAGAGCCCCAGGAGGCACTGGGGAGTAATTACTTTGAATGGCCTTGGGGGGGAGCCATTTCAAAATAGCAGCCATGGAGCATCCACACTACTGCTATTCTGAAACAGCTGTTTTGAAATAAGCGTTATTCCTCATAGCATGAGGTTTACAGATTTCGAAATAAGCCATCTGTTATACTGAAATTATTTCATAATAACGGAATTTCTGTATAGACACTCACATTATTATTTCAAAATAACAGCCGTTATTTCAAAATAACTGTGCTGTGTAGACACCCCTTAGAGCGTGTCTACACAGCAGGGTTTAACTCGAAATAAGCTATGCAAATTGAGCTACATCGATTGCATAGCTTATTTTGAAATTGGGAGCATCTACACAGCACTTACTTTGAAATAGAGCACTCTTCTTCCAACTTCCCTTACTCCTTTTACAATGAGGGTTACAGAAGTTGGAGTAAGAAGTCCTTTAGCTTGACAAAGCTTGACAGTATTTTGACATTATTTCGAAATAACTGCCTGCTCTGTAGACACAGACTAAGTTATTTAGAAATAACGCTAGTTATTTCTAAATGATGTTGCTCTGTAGACATACCTTCTAGGTATGTCTACCCTAGCTCCCTAGTTCGAACTAGGGAGGCTAATGTAGGCATTCGAAGTTGCAAATCAAGCCTGGGATTTAAATATGCCGCGCTTGATTTGCATCTTCCCGGCCGGTTGCCATTTTTTGAAATTTACAAGTCCGGACTAACTGCCCACGTCTACACGTGGCAGGGACCTGGTAGTTCGAAATAAAGCCCTAGTTCGAACTACCTGTTATTCCTCCTGGAATGAGGTTTAACATGTAGTTCGAACTAGGGCTTTATTTCGAACTACCGGGTCCCTGCCACATGTAGACACGGGCAGTTAGTCTGGACTTGTAAATTTCAAAAAATGGCAACCGGCCGGGAAGATGCAAATCAAGCGCGGTATATTTAAATCCCAGGCTTGATTTGCAACTTCGAATGCCTACATTAGCCTCCCTAGTTCGAACTAGGGGGCTAGTATAGACATACCCTTTGAGACTAGAAAAATTTGCCTCTCACTTTTCCCTCTACTATGCTGATGATGACAGTAGCTAAATCAGATTATGGCTTGTCTCTGAAGTAAAGTGGTTAGAGTGAGAGCTGTAGTGAGCCTCTGAGATGAGCCATTAGACTGGGAGTTCCCATGTTCACCAGACAAGGGGAGAGAATACTATCTACCACTATCGCTATCCAAAAGCACAGGACTCAGTGTGGAACTGGGAGCTTCATCACAAGACATAGGATTGGACTGGAGCTGAAGCGCCAAGAAAATCTCTCTACTCTCCTCCCCACTTTCTCTGGTGGCACTTTCAGATGCCAGCCCAACCCTGAATATTTACACTGCTATTCTCAGCTCCATAGCATGAGACCAAGTCTTCTGATCTGGGTTCCGAGACTCACTGTCATGCAATGATTTATTTTTGGGGGGATAGGGGGAAGGTGAGTTGCTGTATAGATATACACTAAATGATTTGTTCAAGTTTGCAGAAGTAGTCCACATTAGAAATCAGATATCCTGAATCTAAGTCAAATACCTTAACCATCTTTCCTCCTAATATAAGATCAAATGAAAAATGTATCCATTAATATTTTATGCCAAAGAGAGTGCTGTTATACATTTTGTGAGAGTGGAAGTGCTAATCAGCTTTAAATTCTGGCTTTCACATCCTAGGAATGCATAATAAATGTTTTTTTTTAATCTTGTAGGCAATGCAGCAGCATACTTATTGAAATAGTGAAATAACTTACTACAATCAGTTTTGTCACCTTTAGATTTGATCATTAGAATTATGTTCAACCTGATGATGCAACAGGATGATACCAGATCAGTACATCACAGCAGCTACAAGTTGGTTGTTGGCACAGAAAAGTTAAATCATTATCTGTGCTTAACATTTAACTATACTTAGCAATCAAAGTGCTTTGACCATAAATAAACTGTCAACACAATATTTTTTTAAAAAGGTGTGGTTTTCATTGCAGGCTCTAGGCCCATTCTGTAAAATAAACAGAATGATCTAAAAAGTATAAAATTAAAGTAATGGATGCCTACTTTTAATATATTGTACTCTTTTACCTATTTCAGTGCTGTCCTTCCAACTCTTGGGTGGTAACTAATGCTGACTTACAAACATCGAACTTTTATCACCATTTATTTCAGTTTTCAATTTGGCCTTCAGACTGATGATTAGCATGTAAAAGCACCTGCAAATTATCATAGATTAATATATTTTAAGGCCACAATGAATCATTATGACCATCTAGAACCTCAATAGAAACAAACCCAGAATTTCCCTTTAGCAATTATATTTTGAGCTCTATTAGTTATCCAGTTTTCAACTGTTTAGTAGGCGCTACTCTAATTTACTATAGTATTTTTTAAAATAGGGACCTCATGCAGTATTAATGCCTGCAGAAGTCTAAGGACATTATGATAACAATTTACACTTATCTACCAAACACGGTATCTGATTTATTTGAACAGACCTCTTTTCCATAAAACAAATTGTACTATGCTATGCTTTTTACATATACGCAGTCCAAAGATTATCAGATTTTTGTTCTAGTGAAATGCTTATTTTGTTTTTGCAGGTGCTCCTTCATCAACACTTGTGGTTGAAGTCGTTCCTATTCTTCTAACACCAGAGGAACTGAAGAAGCAGGAATTGAAGCTTAAAATGAAACAAGAATATTTTAGTGCCCTTGAATTTGAAGGTATGTAACTAATTCAGTGAGCTACATTGTAGAAGTTGATCATCATTCCCAGTTTAGAATTTTTTAATAGTTGAAATTGTCTGCAAAGTTCCATTGAAAGTTTGCTGAGTGAATGTGGAAGAAAGAGTAAAAAAGGATCTGAAGAATCCTGAAAAAAATGGTAGTAGACAATTTTTAAATAAATATTTTTAAATAGAAAATTAGTACTTTTAATCCTTTCTCTTCTCTATCATCCTTCTACTATTAGCTAGTCATTGTAAGAAACCTAAGCAGTTAACCAATATTCAAGATCTTCTGGGTTTTTTCTGTTGGAGAACAGGATTGTATTTGCTTCTTACAATCCTATTTAGTCACAAAAAATATATAGTCTTGTTTTCCCGAATACAGTAGGAATGAAACAGCAGAAGACAGTTCCTTTGCTCTCAGTGCCAAGCCTCTTTTTCAGCCACCATTCTACACCAAAACTGTGTCTCAGCTTTTCTCAGGGTAATGCTACAGGAGCCTTCCTGCCTCCTTTATGTGTTTCTGGCATGTTTCTGCTCAGACCTATGCACGTGCACATATACATACACACATGCAGAGCTTCATCAAACCATAATTAAGACTACTTATTTAATCACAAGTATTTTTAGTAAAAGTCGAGGTGTGGTCACAGGTAAAAAACAAAAAGGAATTATAGTTTGTGACATATCCATGACTTACAGCATAAATACCCCTGATGAAATCTTTGGTGTGGGAAGCCCACAGCACCAAGGGTTGTGAAGGGAGAAATCCAGGGGGGCCCAGGGCACCAGCTGCTAGGTAGGAGATGGAGCCTCGGGGGGGGCAGCAGCCACTCTGGCCACTACCATGGGGATGTGACACTGCTTGGACCACCCTGGGACTCCTGCCAGGAGCCACCAAGCTGTAAGTGCTCCTGGTACCCTCAGGACTGTTGTTAGGAGCTGCGAATCTGTGGCAGCTCATGTCACCTTCGGGATTGCTGTTTGGGTAGTCCCTGGAATCAGCTGTATCAGCTGTTGCTTGGGCAGTTGTGGGGCCAGCTGCATTGGCCACTGTTTTGGTGGTCCCGGGGCCAGCTGCCCAGGCCTATCAGAGCAGCAGCTAGTGCAACTGGTTTGGGATCACCTGAGTGGCTGACTGCAGAGCTGTTCCAGCACTGGCCTGTGTTCCTATCCAGTATGTTGTTGGATTTTTGAGACTTATGTGATTCAGTTTGATACTTACAGGTTGTTATACTGTTGTCCCAGTAACAGACTGAGAGCAGAAGCTCCTGGAGAATGTGCAAAGTAGTTACAAAGAATGCAACTCTGTTCAGCTGTACTGAAAAGCTTGGTGGATATGCACTAAAAATTCTCTTAAAGTGTTTTCAGTTGCTTTTTATATATTTTTTTATTTTTATAGTTTCCCTTCCAAATCAAGTAGAGCTCAGAGAAAAATGAGTTAATGCCGAGTTTAAAATTTCAAATGTCAGCTGTTTTTTCTAAAAATAGGAAATGTGTATTTTTTTCATTCTCGTTTAACTCAAAGATGACCTTGAAAAGGTATCTTTCAAATACATTCATTTTTGTGTAGAGACTGCCTAAAGAAAGTTTCACCCCTAAAATGATTGTTTTGGAAAGGTATTATTGGCATACGGGATAAGGTGTATAGAAACGTCATTATAATTTTACCTATTGACGTCACTGCTAGCAAGAACTACCATTATTTTAAGAAAAAATATAACAGGTAAAAATAAAAAATTGAGAGACAAAGTAGATGAGGTAATGTCTTCTATTGAACCAACTTTTGTTGATGAAAGATACAAGCATTTGAACTATGTAGAACTCTTCAGGTTTCAAAATAAAAAATTGAGCTGTACATTGGATGCCTACATGGTACTTTTGGTCTGAGGAAGTGGGTCTGGCCCACGAAAGCTCATCATCTAATAAACCATCTTGTTAGTCTTTAAAGTGCTACATTGTCCTGCATTTTGCTTCAAAATTTGAGATACTCTTAATTCAGTGTTACTCTTGTGTCTTCTTTCTTTTTCTTCAGATTTTTCATTCCTCTAGTTATCTGTTTGATATCTTTCTCTTTCTCCACTTCCATATCTGTTTTCAAGATATTTATCTTTTCCAAGATCGTGTTTCTCTATTGCCTCCCTTTTTTTCACTCTAACATTCTCAATGACAACAAATATCTTCTTGACTTTTCTCAATCCTCCCATTCTGAAATGCCATTTTTTTAAGTTTTATGGAATTTTTTTTATTTCATAGATTTCTGAAGATAATATTTCTCCTTTGAGTTCTTGCTTATGCTGATTCTGTTCTAGGTATGTGCATGCCCACATGCATAATCGTCACAAATTTTTGTCTTAGTGGTATCTATAGAGTCGTCTGTGGTGTCCCTTTGAATACCACCTTCATGTACTGGTATATTAGGTGTTGGCAATCTTACATGCTCTCAGTTCCTTCTTACTGCCTGTGATGGTTGGTCTTCACATCTTGTGTTACATTGCAAGAGCATTAATGGTACTTACAATCCATTGTTCTGTCTCCTTTGTTTTTAATTTATAAGTGCTTAGTTACACCATAAAGTAAAATGTTATAGTAGTAGTTTAGGAGTTAGTCCCAGGTAGGAATTTACCTTGGAGCTGGGCGTGCCTCATTTCCCAAGCTTTGAGCCATGCTCACTTGCAGCTGCCAAGTACCCATTAGCAACTGTCATGTTTGCTGTTTGAAGTGTTTGGGGGAGTCCCCCAGAAAGGATGAATGCAGGATCTGCAAAAAAGGTTTGTTCTTAAGCTCAGAAGGACCTGATTATCTGCTTGAGGGTTCTCCTTACAGAAGCTGTGCTTTGTCCTCCCTCAGTGCCCTCTTAATCAGACTCCATACCTAGCACTTTGGCATCAGTGCACAGCGTACTGCTGGCACTGGAAACCATTTGGCACCGTTCCCCCTTTACCTAAGTAGTAGTAGAAGTCTATGAACCCAGTGGCACTGCAGAAAAAAGGGCTTTGGGGAAAGATTAGGGTACATGCTTGTCCTGGAACTACTCAAGTGTACTGATGCGGTAGGACCCTCAGCCCAGCCAGGGAGGGACCCACTTATGACTTCAAGGAGCATCAGCGGTCTGGCTTCTAGTAGTGTCATCTGTGTCCATTGTGGGCCCAGCTGCCAAAGGGTAAGTAGGCCTGCCAGCACTGCAGATGCCAAGTCAAGCAATGGATCCAAAGTCTACAGGCAAATCAATTATGGAAACATCCTCTAAAACAGCAGAGCGTCCCTGGTCCCTGAACTGCAGACATCAATCCCCGTCACCATGGCCTCGAACATCAGTATCACATCCTCAGGTTCCTGATGCCAAGGTCTTCACCTACAAGGTATGGGACCCAAGTCGCTGTATAGATCACTGTACCCAGCGTACTGTTGGGCCTCCTACCAGAGATTGTCACAGTGCAGATTACCATTGCCTGTGTGGTCTCCTAGGCCTCAGTTCACCTCCCATCTCTGGGTGCAGAATTGTTCCTAGTTGTGACATCCACTCTCCAATACCACACTCCAGTACCTCTCCTTACTGGTTGCCAACAAGGGCCAGTCAGCAGACTCAAACATCTACATCTCATTCTTGGTCACTGGAAGTGCAGTGGGCCGAGTCAGAAGAAGAGTTCAGCCCTTCACTTATAAAAGACAAAAAATCATCACCAGCCCACAAGCCCAGTGTGGCTTCTGCAGTGGAAAAATGAAGGCAGGAGCAATGTCCCACTCATTGGCAGTACTGGAACCCACTGAGTGTAACTTTTATGCTGATCCCTTACTTCCACCATTTCTACCAGACTGCATTGGGCACACTGCCCCAGCGCAACTGGCACTGTAGTCAGAGCACAGTGCCAAATCCAATACAGAGGCAACATAGCAAGCCTTGACACCCTAAAAGCCATCCCCAGTTGAACAAGGGAAAACTGTCCTTCCCCCTGTGGTGTAGTCATCTTTGTTGTCCCTGAATAAAGCAATGGCAGGCACCTTGCAAACGAACAACTGCCCTGATGACTTCCTGGCTCACCAAGCTCTGCTCAGAAGGTTGACTGCCAACTTAAAGTTGGAGGTTGAGGAGCTAGCAGAGGAATGTTATGACCTTTTTAATGTCATACTCTCCTATACTCTGCCCTGAGTTGCATTGCCTTTCCTAAAATTGCTAAGTCTGTTTGTCAGACCCTTCTCCCCCTTCCATTCTGCCTACCTCCAAGAAGGCAGAAATGATGTATTATGTCCTGACAAAGGAATTTGAGTACCAGTATATAAGCAGGGTAATGGTCCTGCTATCGAGGGGAACTTTCCTGGCTTCTAAACTGCCCAGGTGAAACAGGCTAGGATCCCTTTCCCACTTCCTCATAACTCCAACAATGAGCCCAGGATTCCTAGGGGCTTGATTTGCAACCTTGTAATTACCTAGATCCGGGGCTAGGTATTTGCACTCTGGGGAAATATCCAGTGTTTCTGTATGCCGCCTCCTCAAGCCCTGTGTTGCAGGGATGCTATGGGTCACATACTTTCTCTGGCACTGGCCACATGCCTTCAGGGTCTAGGTGGCAGGACCCTTCTCCATGGTGTCAGCCCCCTAACAGGGTTATGATTCTCCTTCAAGTCTGGCCTGCAAGTCTTCCTGGCTAGGGGTGTCTCCTTGCAATGAGTCCTCTGGCTAAGGTCCCCCCTCATCTGCCCCAGCTGCTGACTGCACCTGGCCCCACACTGTCCAGCTCCACTCTCTGTTGTTCTGCTTCAAGCTTCTCTGGCTCCTCTGGCTCTGTGGTTGTGGCTCTCTTCCCAGCCTAGGATCCACCCTCTAAGCTGTGTCTCAGGCTTTGTGGCTGCAGCCCTGCTTTCAGCACAGAATCTACTCTCTGGACTGTTCCTCTGGCTCTTGCCAGCTGGCACAACTTTGCGCCCCAGCTCAGCTCAGCTCAGGGTTCCTGCTCTGTCCTTAGCTCAGCCCCATTCTGTTTGACCCAGGCAATTCCA